CCAGAAGAATTCCCTCATCAAGACTCTATATCATAGAGCCCAATGCATCTCCGACCATGAACACATTTCCAGTGAACTCAAACACGTACGCCAAGCTCTTAAGGCTAATGGTTACTCCGACTACACAATCCGCAAAGCCATCACTCCAACCATCAAGAAGGATCCTGTTGAGGAGCCTTTCAAGACCATCACCTTACCCTACATTGCTGGGGTCACAAAAAAGATCTCCAAAATCCTGATTAAACACAAGATCCAGGTCCGATTCAACACAGTACATAAAATCCGTGATCTGGTCCCGTCTGTAAAAGATGTGGTTCCAGACATACAGTACCCTGGCGTCTACAAACTAAGTTGCCTCTGTGGTAGCAGTTACATTGGAGAAACCAAACGACATGTCTCGGACCGCATCCGTGAACATAAGGCAGACCTGAAACACGGTAGGACAAACACCTCAGCCGTGGCAGATCACTGTTACAATTCAGTGGGCTCACATGACATTGACTTCTCCAAGACAGAGGTTCTCTGCAAGCCATCTGGCTATCATGAGAGATTCGTTCATGAGGCGATCCACATATACAAACACAGAGACAATTTCAACCGAGAAGATGGATTCTGGCTTAGCAATCATTGGAAGGACGTAATAAACCATTTCGGATCTTAACTGATTGTGTTCACGTTAACGGTGACTTTCAGACCGCGTTCCACTCACTGGCATGGTGCAGTGTGCAGAGTAATGTATGGTGTCGTAATTGTACAGTAAACATATAGCAGTATGATACACATTAGGGTGGGTAGAATAATACATAGTGTTATATTAAAATGGATAAGGCAGCAACTGCAGCAGCAGCAGCAAGTGCAGCAGCAGCAGCAAGTGCAGCAGCAGCAGCAGCAAGTGCAGCAGCAGCAGCAAGTGCAGCAGCAGCAGCAAGTGCAGCAGCAGCAGCAAGTGCAGCAGCAGCAGCAACTGCAGCAGCAGCAGAAACTGCTGCAGCAGCAGCAACTGCTGCAGCAGCAGCAACTGCTGCAGCAGCAGTAACTGCAGCTCCCTTTGATGCTGTTAATCCTGCATAATGCACATGCATATGCAGTACTAATCACATTCCTGCATTTCCCATAAATATGCTAAATTCCTGTTGATATGCAAATTCCTTTGTCAATGCGCCCAGCTTATATATATGCTCCAAGCCCGTGTGCTGTTTCATTCAGACTCTGTCGCCTCGACGGACCTGGTTTTCACCTGAGGACGGCTGCTTGCGTTGTGGCCGAAACGTCGTGAGAATTGTTTTATTATGTTTTATTTTTATTATTTTATTACTTCCCTTCTACGTGACTTTACCGAAAGAACCAAGAAGACTATTGCCATTGTAGTGCGTATTTAATGTGGCGATGTACTCCGATGTTGTAGGAGAAAACATTTATTAAAACGTATATTTAATTAATTAGAACGTGTTGTCTATATTTATTTAAAGTTGCGCATTTTGATGTGACGTCACATTTCTCAACCCCCCCCCCCCCCTGCTCGTCACACATCGTCACAAATGTCCGACCCCCCCCCCCCAAATAGGTGCGTGACGTCATTTATGGACGGCCCCCTCTGTAAGATTCAAACGGCCGCCCAGAATCGGGGTTGCATCTCCCAGCGCGTCCTCGCCCCGCGATTCCTCTTCGCACATCACCACCCACCCACCGCCTTTTTAAAATCGGTTTTGGTTCCCCCCTTTCATTCCGCCGGCTCCGCGCGTGGCAGGTAGCAGCAGAGCCGTGATTGGAAACGTTCTTCGTGACACACGCGGGCCGTGCCGGGTCAATGCGCCAAGCAAACAGCGCAACATTTTCCAAACTCCTCCGACCACCACCACCACCACCGACGCCACCATCGCCGGCCGCTCCACTCGAAAACGTCGCCCCCACCGCAATCGACACTCAACAACGCGGTGGGGTGACTCAAGCGTTGATGCGGTGAGCGACGGCGAACATTGGCCGACACTTCTGCGATCGTAATCGCCACTGCTTGTGGGGAGGTGGCAAAGCCACGTGCACGACGCGCGTAACCCGCGAAACGGCCCGAGGTCGACTCGGCCATCAAAGCAGTGCCTGGTGCGGTGCGTAAACATCGCCACGAGAGAGACACAGGCGGTCGGGCGTGGTTCTGGCCACCCGCCTCCTCGTGTGCCGTGCCGGCCTCCATAGGTGCTACTCGCTAACGGCATTCGTCCCAAGGCTACACGGGGGATCTTTGTCTTTTGTGCGCACGCGTGCGTGTGTATTGTACGGGCGCGTGTATTGGCGTAAGAATGGGTATGTTTGTGTAGTGATGTGTGGCACGTGTGTGGCACGTGTGTGGGTGTGCGAGGGGAGCGGTTGTGCAGCGATTAGCGCGCTGCGCCATGAACCCGCCGACCCAAGTTCAATTCCAACTCACGGCCACCAACACCGGTGACAATTATCTGACCCGGTCCTGGGCATCCCCTAGGTCTACTGAGCCTCAAATGAGTACCTGGTGCAATGTGAGAAGGGAGACAAAGGCAGCTGGGCGTGGTGCTGGCCACCCACCCCCTCGTGTGCCGTGCCGGCCTCATAGGTGCTCGCCAACTGCACTTGCCAACATATTCTTAGGTTTTTTCGGTAAAGTCACGTAGGTAAAACATCAAAATTAATAAAAATAAAATAAAACAAAAATCACGACGTTTCGGAGGCAACACAAGTCTCCGTCATCAGGTGGGACCGTCACAGCCGGATTAGCTGCATCAAGTGAGGCAATGATTCAAGATGTAATCCCTTAAAAGCAAGTTGAGGGGGAGGAGAGGGGAGGGGGCTCATCAGAATGTGGTAGCCAATGAATGGAACGTATCGGGAGGGAGGGAGGCGGGGCTCAAAGACGGTACGGAGTGCCACGTACAACGCATCGGGAGGGGGAGGGGGGGCGGGGCCAAAAGAATTCACGACGGCATGGGCGCTGTTGCTGTTGCACAACGCCAACGCATTGGACAGAGAGGGGGAGGGGAGGCCTGATACACATGATAGAAAAAAAACGAAAATGCCCATGTTTATACCAATGCTGGCTGAACAATGAAGAGAGTACTGTTAAACACTGGGGATGTTAACACTCGGTAAAGTAAAGTAAAATAGTGCCTGTCAGATAAGATGGTCCAAAAAAGTGTAATTAAGTCTTTTTTGCGTGGTTAATAACATCTTTCCAATGATTACTAAGTTTGTACCCATCATCACGGTTGAAATTATGTCTGTGTTTGTATATTTGTATGGCTTCGTGTACAAACCTTTGATGGTAGCCGGGAGGTTTGCAGAGAACCTTGGTCTCGGAAAAGACAATTTCATGAGAGCCCACCAAGTTGTAGCAATGATCGGCAACGGCCGAAGAATCAGTTCTGCCGTGTTTCAGATCTGACTTGTGCTCGCGGACACGATCAGAAACATGACGTTTCGTTTCTCCAATGTAGCAATCACCACAAATGCAACTCAATTTGTAGACTCCAGGATACTGTAAGTCAGGAACGACATCCTTCACAGATGGAATCAGATCACGGATTTTATGCACTGTACTGAATCGGACTTGGATCTTATGTTTGTTTAGAATTTTGGAGATCTTTTTGGTCACGCCTGCTATGTATGGTAACGTGATAGTTTTGGTCGGAGTTTCATGTGGCTGTTCCTGTGTGGTGGGAGAGACAGCTTGGCGGATAGTACGGTCAGAGTATCCGTTCATCCTGAGGGCCCGATGTACAGGTGGTGTTGGTCAGCAATGCCATGGGCTCTGTGGTATAGCGTTTTTATGAGATAATTCTTTTGAGATGGGTGGTGGTGGGAATCCGGTTTCAAGTAGGAATCTGTGTGAGTGGCTTTCCTGTAGACAGAATGTCCCAAGGATCCGTCAAGCCTGCTCTCAAACAGAATATCCAAGAATGGTAGTTTACCATCTTTCTCCACTTCCATGGTGAATCTGATGGATGGGTGTCTAGAATTGATGTGGTCCAAGAAGTGGTTCAATGCTGGGAGGCCATGTGGCCAGATGACGAAAGTGTCATCCACATACCTCTTCCACAGGGAAGGACGCAGGGTGGATGTCTGGATGGCGTGACTTTACCGAAAAAACCTAAGAATATGAATCCTTGCAGTCACAAAAGCTTCAAATCTAGAACACTTGCCAACAGTCTGTGAAGGCTACATGGGGGATCTTTGTCCGGTTCTGAGCCTCCCCAAGTTCGACTCAGCCCTAAATTATTAGCTGTCAGAGGTGTTAACCTCAACATTGGGGAAAGAACGTCAGGCAAGCGTGCTGCTGACCACGCCACAACCTCATGCGCTGTATGCGACACCAGGTACCACAACACGTGATACAAATACCGTCACAAAAGACAAACCCCCCCCCCCCATATAACCTTAAGCAGACCACTGAAGCAAGTGCCATTAGCAAGTAGCATCTTTGAAGGCCGTCACATCACGCGAGGAGAGTGGGTGACCAACACCACGCCCGGTTGCGTTCGTCTCCCCAGCGCTGATGTTTACACACACCTTTACACACACCTTTACACACACCGGTCGTGAGCAGGAATCCAACTCGGGCGGCCGGGTTTGCAGCACAGGGCGCTAACCACTGCTCTTCCGCTGCCCGCACTCACACAAGCAGACACAGTGGGCGGATTTCAAGACGCACCCTCCTCAACTTTTGCGGTTTGAATCCAATGGCGGGGAAACAAGTGGGCTATATGTGGAACATACGCCACGTCTATAAAACACAAATTAGACACCTCGACACCAGCTCAGCAGACGGATCCAGCGGCTGCACCCTCAATGCCCCGAGGCACCCTCAATGATGACTTCAATGCCCGTGTCCCCGTGCAGGAATTTACAGCTCCTCCGAGACAAAAACGCGATTTTCCGACGCTCGTAATCTATTCCCCCCACCCCCTCCGAGTCCCAAAACGCGAAGTCGCCAGCGGCGATTGACGTCGGGTAACCTGCAAAGCAAGCGGACGACTCGATCTGCGTGAATGTGCCTTTAATTTCTCTAAAACGACAATTAAACTCTTGCAAAACACCACAGTCAAACAAATTACTCCCTCCGTCCGGTCTCTAAGATTTGATGACGCGGCGAGAGGGCTTTGAGAGGGCGGCGGTTTCTTAACGAGAGTCAACTCTGCTGCCGGCTTGGCTCGCCGCTCCCGTGCCGCGCTCGTCCTTGCCGCGGTGTTTAGGTGGCATGCCCCGCCCCCCGAGGCGGTACCCTGGCGGCGCCCCTCCGCCGGGTCGATCGGCTACGCTTGCGATGACTGCGATATTGATTAAAAAAAATTCACAAAAAAACGCGCACGTAAAAAAAATGCTGTTTTTTTGCAGGGGCGGGCTTTTTCATCGCGCTGCCCACATAGTTCCGGTCCAGCGTGACATGACAGATATCGTTCCTTTTGTCGGTGATGGATTGCGGCATATCTCTCCGCGGTTCCAGGTAAAGCCCAATTCACCGTGGGACACTCTGGAAAAGAAACAAGCCTGGATCCGGCCCACGTGGCGATCCGCGTTCACTTTTCGCCCTTGCCCTCGGCGATTTTTTTCCACGAAACATTGACGTACGTCCTTCGCCGTCACGGGCCGCGGGAAAGGCGTGCTCCGTGCGTCGCCGATGTCAGTGAGCGCCTGGTGGTGGTGGGAGGGGGGGGGGTTAGAGCGGCGGGCACCCCTAGGCCACGGCGGTGATCTGGCGCAGCGCCTGCCGGGCCTTCTTGGCCTGCTGGCGGAGGCGGTCGCGCACGGCCTCAGTGGGGGCCACGCGGGCCTGCTCCTCCAGCTCCTCGGCCTGCGCCGCGAAGCCGGCGGCGTTGTGCACCACGCGCACTGCGCGGTCCCCACACGACGCCACGTAGCGGCCCAGGGGATCGAAGGTCAGCTCCAGCACCGCCTCGGGGCCTGCGCGGGGGGAGTGGGGGGGGCGTGAGAGGCGGGGGGGAGATGGGGTGGTTGGTAGGGGAGGTGCGGGAGGGGGTGGGAATGGAGCACAATGCCAGCTCCCGTGATCTGTCGTTGGCACGGGGCGCGGATCGGTGAAGCGTGTCGTGTTTGGCGTCTCGCTCGCATTATTTCCGCTCGTCGTCTGTCTGTCTCTGTTTGTACAGATTTGTCCATTCCACGAGGCCGAGTCGCATTGTTTGCGATATCATCTGCATGTCATTTGCAGAAATCAGAAAACCGGCTCTCGCACGAAGGTTTCTACGCACGCACCGTGAGGTTACGAAGTGATTTTGATTTAATGAATTGACGCATGCGGTGCAATGGCGGATGGATCGGAAGCTGGGGTGGAGGGCAAATAAAATAAATGTGTGAATTAATATAGCCCCCCCCTCCACCCATTTAAAAACACTCGACCCTTTGGGAATATCCCACTCCTGCCCCCACCACTCTGAGCCTTGAGACCGTATTAGATCACCCTCTTGAGGCAACAAGATATGCCTAAATGTCAGATTAGTCACCACTGCCACCGCCGTGACCATTGTGACAGTCGCTTTACACCATCGGCCACAGAGCAACCGCCACTCGGTATCCGCAGCGCTCTGGGGGCTGGGGGGGAACCCGGCGGACACCTGAGCGTCACCTCTAGCTCACGGCTATGATTCACGAGGTCGGATTCACACAAATTCCCCGGCACGATGTTCACGGCTTGCGGACGCCAATCGCCTGCGACGATAAACATCTCTTTCCGCCCCTCGGCCACGCGTAGCTTGCACGTGCAATTTCATCTCCATCTTCTCCGCACGATGGGTTGGGAAGCACTGCGCTACAAACCTGGTGGGCCTGCCTCCACCTATCTGCACCAACGAGCATGGTAAAGTAGAGTTAAATAACCGCTACCGCCCTCCCCCCCCCAATGGCATGGGGAAGCCGGGGATTGGCACAGGGCTAGGCATTGCTACTGCTATCACTATTGTTTATCAGCTGCCTCAGCGGCAGAGTGGGGGGCTCACAGTCGGAAGGTTATGGGTTCAAACCCTGGTTGGGAGGTTGCAAAAATGGTACCACTTCGCAGGTAAGTCAAAAGTGCTATTCTGGGAAAAGATTCACCTCTGCCACAGAAATGTGAATTTCCACCACCAGCTCTGTGGGCTTGTAGCGAGCGGACGAGTTCAATTCAGCAGGAAAACACTTTGATTAAAAAAAAACCCCCATTGTAATTCCTTCTTGGAGACGTTTAGCAACACGCTCTGAAAGCCGCCACGTTTATCGTGCCCTATTGCACATGCTGGCACCGAGCCAAGGCATTGTCATCACGTACACAAAGACCCACGTACATAAAGATCCCCCATATAGCCTTAACAGACTGTTGGGGAAAGTGCTGTTAGCGAGCACCTATGAAGGCCGGCACGGCACACAAGCGGGTGGATAGCCAGTATCACGTCCGGTCGTATTTGTGTCCCTAAAGGCGATTTTCACATATCGCACCAGGTACTCATTTGAGGCCGAGTCGACCTGGGGGAAGCCCAGGACGAGTTAAAATATTCTCCACTGTTATTGATTGTGAGGGGGAATCTCGGGTTTATAGCGAAGCGGTCTAACCGCTGCGCCACCGCCCTCGAGCACACTTACACACACGCACACAGACGCACACGGCGACGCACGCGTTTACCGTCACCGGCACCACCGCCGCCGCAGCCGCTCACCGTGTGGGCCGACGATGGTCTCCATGAGCCGGGCTGTGCGAGCGTCGAACACGTGCACGGTGGGCCCCGCGGCCAGCGCCAGCACGCGGCCATCGGGGGACAGTGCCAGTCGGCACGCCGCCATCGTGGCCGCCTCGTACTTCCCCTTCGTGAGCAGGTAGGGCTCCTGCTGCAGGCGGTACTGGATGTCCGTGTCCCACAGCCGCCACGTGCCGTCCTTGGACACCGTCGCCATCCTGGCGGGCGGGCGAAAAAGCGGGAGAGAAGCACGGAGAGAAGTGGGAGAGAAGCGTTGTAGGTGGACGAGCGAAAGCGGAGGCGTGCCAGCGGACACGCGGTGCCCGAGCTATGGGGCCGCCGCGTCCGATCGAGCTGAGCGGCGGGTGCCGTGGATTCGGAGCCAACAGGACGGAACGCGATCGTCATCCGCCACAAATCTGAAAGCGCTCGTGCTCACGGGCGGATGGGTGTGCGCCATCACGCTCTCGTTTGCACGCACCAAACCGGAGTGGAGATCGCTTTGCTCGCACAGAGAAAAGCACAGAGCCGACGGTGCCGCTCGCATCAAGTAAAATGTGTGGGGGGAGGGGGAATTGGGGGGGGTTGGTTGGATCTAGGAAGGGGGGCGTGGTTGGGTGGCGGGGAGGAGAAAGGGGAGCTTGAATCGGTCTTCCGGATATCATTGCGCCTGTTGCCGCAGCAAGACAGGTGCTCTAGCCGCACCTTGCACCAGCGATAGATTGAACGATGAGCTTCTCCCCCCCCGTCTCCCTGCCCCAGGGCTCGCTCGGCGGCACCGCACCGCCGCTCGGTTGCCGTGGAAACGTGTACAACTTGAAACGATGAGCGGCGATTGCGTCGCACGTTTTCTTGCTATGAGGTCAGAAAAAAACTATAAACACCCCCAACCCAACCCTCCGCCTGCCACGCGCACTTCGGAGCACGTGATATACACCGATGACGAGAGGGTGAGGTGCCGGGCTACCCCCTCCACCAGCAGCTCTCCACCGATAACCGGCACCCAACCGTTCCACACTCCACTCAACCACCAACTCGTTTGCCTGCGGTTGGTGTACGTTATCCTTTCAATGGAGGTTGCACGCGTACAGCTCTCAAGTCAATCCACTGCTGGATGAGAGCCTCCCCATGCCGTGACGATGGTCCAATATTCTTGACCATCGTACCTTCTAGCCATGGATGTCGCCCCTCCTTCCGTTCCTATCTTAAAGCTCACCTCTTCTCTATCGCCCATTCTCTTCCTTTTCACTCCCCTCGCACCTCCACCCGGTCCCTCCCCCGCACTTTCGTGATCCCTACGTACCACTCTCTTGCTGTCAGTTATTCCTCAATCCTTGCTACGCCCCTGTCAACTACATCATACCATTCTGCCATCGTTTTGTAAGCCATGTCAAGAGCCTTGAGTGAAGACACTCTATAAATATTAATTAGATTTACAGTAAAACCTTGGATTGCGAGCATAATTCGTTCCAGAAACGTGTTTGTAATCCAAAGCACTCGTATATCAGTTGTGATCACGTGATGCTCAGCAGACAAAGCGTATACACAGACTACTCGTATTGCAAGACCTCGCTCGTTAATCAAATTAATATTTATTTCAAATGTTTGCTCGTCTTGTAAAACACTCGCAGATCAAGTTACTCGCAATCCAAGGTTTTACTGTACCTGCTGTTGTTTTGCTTGTGTTGAACCAACACTGCTCAAATAATGCACTCCCAGAAGGAGGCCGTATGGCTGATGGGATGTGTAATTATTATTACGACTACGAAGTGGAGAAACAGATCTGGGAATGAAGCATATGGCCATACAAGTTTATTACCCCCGAGTTAATGACGCCACGCCACTCAACCTCCGAGCCGGTGATCACACGGCGACTGCACATCCACGCAGCCCTTTGCATTGGTGGTCAGGCCTGAAAAAACTCCCACAAAAGGGAAAATTGTGATTATTGTTACTCATGTTAAAATAAAAAATATGTCAAAACCTGTTTTCCAATGTGTTTTTCTTCTTGATGGCGTCAACAAAAGGCCACGGAAAAATGTGAGACCTGCACAGGATGGCTGTGTGTTTTGAATAGACAGGCGGGCGTGCATTCCACTCACGTTACCCGCGGGAAGTTCCATTTTTATAAATAACAGACAGTAGTACTTGGTGGAAGGGTGTTTAAAAAAGAAAAAATGCTTATTACAAGAGACACGAGACCTTCTAAAAGCCCTTGATGCCCAGATCAGATGTAGCTCACTCGCCGATACCACCTGCAGTAAGCATGACTTTTGATATGGACTACAACAGAAAGATCATTATTATCAAATCTTATCGTCCATACATATAAATGGGTAATGTTTTGCTACCTTAGGTGGGTACCGATGTCTGCTCTGGCCGATGGACTATTGGTGGGAAAGGTTTGAATGTTTGGTCCAGAAGGTTGCAAGAATTCCCAAACCAAGAACAGGAAGTCCTATCGAGGTAAGCCAATTGTGATGAATAGCAAGCCGATTTTAATAAGCATATTTATATCGCCGAGCATTAGTATCACACGGTACGACACTACTCGTGATTAATTTATAATTTACTCACGAAGTGGATTTTTTTCGTGCAATCTGCGCATCTACCATAGCGCCGATAAAGGGACAGCCATAATAATAAAATATAACATTCCTCAGCTTCCTCTTGAGCAATAAACAATCTCCGCTCGCACGCGGCGGTCTCAATCTTGTGCCGCGTGGGATCGTGTGAGCAATGCCGCCCGGGTCGACGGGAGGGAAGAGGTTTCATGGTTCACCTAGTCACTGCCCACTCACCCACCCACTCACTCACGTCCAACACCAGTGACGTACATCGTAACTGGTCCTAGACCTCCCCTAGTTCAAGACGGGCCTTCAATGAGTGTGTAAAACATCAGAACCGGGGAGATAGAGGCGGTCGGGGCATGGCGCTGACACCCACCACTTCGTGTGCAGGGTGGATCATCAGTAACAACCTAATCTGAAATAGCGGCATTGTGTAAATTATTTTGTTACATTTTTTTGCAGAAATAACATACAAGACTGGGAGTTTATGATGAACCGGTATATACCTCAGCAGCGTGCAAGAATAGCTGAAATACATTTTAGAAACAATTAACAATTATTTCAACACAGAGACTATCGTAGATATTTTAGGTCCCGAATGGCTCCCAACTCCGCCGCCATATTCGGGCGTTGATTTCCCGATTTCAGGAATCAGAAAGAACGGTGGATGCAAAGCGGTGTGTTGGCAGACCTCGAGCCAGTCAATCTCCGACTTCACTTGAGCAAGGGAGAGTGTCAATGAGAACCCCAAAACTCTGACGAGGAGACGCTCCGCTCAATTGGGGATCGCACGACGGTCGCTGCGGCGAATCCTGGGACAGGCGGTGCAAGAATTGCAGCCCAGAGACCATCAAAGCGGCCTAGATTACTCTCGTGCTTTCTTTGAACTTGCAGACCAAGACGATGCTTTCATTACAAATGTAATGTCAGACGAAGCTCATTTTCACTTTAGCGGCTCCTGGAGTTCATACAAAATTAGATCGAATCTCCACGAATTTAAGAATTTTCTATAATTTAGAGTTTCGTGTTTTTATTTCATTTTTCAAAAGTTATCGGCGAAACAAATCAGGTTGTTAACTATAGCCCACCCTGTACGTTTACATTCAGACACACAAAGACACATGCACGCACATAACTTCCTCCACAACCACACACACCCCCTCACCGTGCAGGGAAATTCCACCTGCGAGCCGGTGCCATTGTATTTTATCTTCCCAACATTATGGGCACATGCCCCTGTCCTGAGCAAACCCCTGTCATCAAAGCCACAGCATGTACTAGGGCTGTTCTAATTTCGTGTATGACAATACATTCAGGAGCGAGATGCAAATAGAGGTCTGCCCAGCCGCGATGAGGGCTTCAGGAGTTCGTTTGTTTAGGTTTGCTATTTCGGCCTGTAACGAGTCTAAGCACTTCCCCTCCTGCTACCTTTCCCCCCTTCATGCAATTTATGGAATTGTCATTATTGCAGTGTCGCGATTCTGTCCCAAAATCACAACAATTTAACTGTCCATGCAGTAAAAGTTCTGAACAGGAGCACTCACACTCAGAGCTGTTTCCACGTGAAACTATGTCCCCAAGACACGCAACAAATATATATAGTCTCGACTTATTTGAATCTTTAAGAACACGCTTGCTCAACATCTGGGAGTGTGCCCCATTTATTTAGTTCTGCGCCTAACCAGATGTGACACTCACTGCACGATTCAGATGTAAACCACTCTTTGCTACGCGTGTAGTCAATGGACACCCTGGGAGCCCCGACAAACAGGTAGGTTTCATCCCAAAATAATTATTTCTGGCGAAATATTTCAATTAAATATTTTCAAAAAAGCTTTGCACCGGATATTGAAGCGTCTCGTTTTAACACAATTAATTTATTATCCTGTCTCGTACGTTTTTGTCTGCTCCGTCGCAATGCGTGTTAAATTTAGTGTCTCATCCTGCGCGTGCATTTACAATAATGCTGAAAAATGCGAGGCAAAGGCAGCCTCTAGCGACAGGAGCGGAGAGCCACGTAAACTTATTACACGCAACGCGCTCGAACTAAAAAGTTAAACACTGTCGACTGCGCGATTCGACGCACGCACTGCGCTTATCGCGAGGCCAAGAATGTTCACACCGATGAGCCTCGAGGTATTTACCAACGCCGCAGCATCGCAACCCATCCAGCGCAACACCTACCCGCCGCACCTTTGCCTTGTGGTCAAGGGTCGCACGCCCCCTCTTGGTTTCGCCAAGTTTCACTATCGCCAGAAACCAACAACGCCTACTCCCTCCAACTCGCTCAAGGGTTTGTGTGCATTCTAAATGTATTTTTAGAACAGAAAACGAACCTCATTGTGATCTAAACATTACAAGCGTCGTTCAAGTTCCTTACACACATTTTTGTTGCGTTTTTTTTTTATCCAAGTGTGCCGCTCGAACGTGTGCAATCCGGGCCACGTGGCTTCCCGAAAGTGACGGTGCCCTGTGCATCGTGTCCATTTGGCAGCTGCGGTGTCATCGCGAGTGGGGCAATTGTAACTTTCAGCGGGACTTCTTGCACCGTAGGCTACACGGCGGTAATGAGAACACGAAGGAACAGAAGATAATAAGATAATTTGTGACACTTTATTAATCCATGGGGGGAATGGCGACACAGCAGTTAGCACACTGAGTTTTAAACCCAGCGAGTGAGCTGGTTTGATTCCTGGTCACAGCTAATGTCAGTGGGGGAACGACATACTAACGACTATTAATTTATTTTTTATTTTACCAGGTAAGGCCCACTGAGCTATATCATTCTTTTTCAGAAGCGACCTGGCCACAAATTATATCCCAATGAAGTGGTTTATCATGTGGACGTTTATAGTAGCCAAATACTGTTGATTCTAAAGGTGGAGGGAAAAACTCCAGGAACCGGAGACAAATCCACGTGACTACGCGGAGAGAGACACGCAAACTCCAAATATACGACAGGCGCCATGATCGAACCCACGTCCTTCTGTATACCAAGCGAGGTAGTTAGCATTTCGCCACCGCGGCACCGGTTGTGGCTCCCCCACCCTGCCACCCCCCCCTAACCTTCACTCACCAATGTGATGAAGTATGATCAAAGAACAGCATGGAGAGGACTCTACCCAGCTACTAATTGACAAAGGGTCATAAAGTACGATTTTATCTCATACTGTTAACAAATCCACTATTGGATAAAGGCCTCCCCAAACACCAACTAAACATCTTTAATTCGATGCCTACTTTTAATGCTGCGAGTACAAAGGACGAAACGTAAACGGCACTGTGGGCAAGGATACATCAACCATAATGGTGCAAGGGACCTAACCGACGTGTGAGAAAAGCACTCGTTGCTGAAGTAACTGAACCATACCTTAAATAATGAAGCATACATGCCACAAAGGAATAGGTGTACAAGAAAAAATAATAAACCATCGATGTACAGCCCTTTGTCAACCCACTTCTGAATGTGGGCCTCCTCATGTCGAGGCGGGCTTGGGAGTTGTTTGACCATACTTCACCAAGCTGGTCTGTGCAGGTTGGTGACAAGCTGGGGGCCATCAGGACCGGTTTCAGACATCACTCGCCACCGATGTCAGCCGTATGATGGCTGGGGCTTGAACTTGGGTTCACAGCGCATTAATCACAATCGACGGGAGAGCAAGCCGCCTGAGTTGGCGTAGGGGGGGTCGGCGGGGGAGGCATCAACCCTCCGTGAGGGTGACAACAGACAGCGGATAACCGACATAGAAAGGTCGGATTTGTGGAATTTGCACCACATGATCAGAGAGCTCTAAACAGGAGATGATCGCCAGCTCAGTGCTCATGAGCAAGACATGACTTGGGTGGTCTTTCAATTTTTTCAGACTACCCCCCCCCCTTGCCTGGAGATATAAATTAAGAATGAAAAAAAATCAGACGCCTAACAACAATGTAGCCTCCTCGAGGATGACAGGGAGACGTGGCAGAAGTGGACGCGTTTGGATTTAACACGATCGGTGGGTGCGCGGGTCAGACGGTCAATTGAAACTACACATTGCGTGGGTGGTGGTGGTGGAGACACGAAGAGGCTATATATATACGTGCGTGTGCAAGCTGGGGGGGTGGGTGGGTGGTAAAGATGGCACGAAGAAGAATCGACGGGTGAATGACGAACAATTAGAAACTGCAACTCGCCACTTGCGAGGGCGTTGCGTGTTTTTCACTTGGCAACCGTCCAAGACATCCGAGCCACCCAGCAGGCAAGGAGCTGAGTGGCAGTTGGGGGTGGGGTGGGTTGGGGGAAATTTTCTTTGGGTCGAAATCTGTTAGAAAGCACTCCGGGGATCTTGGCAACATTGCGTCACATCTCGATTTAACGCCCGCGAGAGTTTTTATGTCAGCGTGGGTAGATTATCTTCCCGTGCCAGCAACGTGAAAGAGAGGAAGCTTTCCTTTCAGGGTAGTTTCGAGCGTTTCGAAAATTTCCTTCACTGTGGGCGTCGAGGAGGGTGCCATACCCTCGGCTTGACGGGAGAAGGCAGTACAGCAAGTTGCCTAATTGCCATCTGTTTCCATCTGTATGGGGATAGAGTGTTAACCCCTTGCACGAGCGGGGTTTCGGTGTCCTACCCGCTTGTCATTAAACGCTATCGTGAAATGGCCCGAAAACATCGTTCAAATAAAGACCTAATGCAGCAGCAAAACATGTACGCAAATAAATATATAGATAAATAAATATATAGATAAATAAATAATTGCGGGTCCGAGTGTTGTATCCGTGCCCCATGGAGTATAAGCGTCAATAAAAAATACCAGGTGCGATGCCCATGTCATAGCTAGTACAAAAGTCACAAGCGCTCTCCATCAAATAGGTCACTTGGACTAGGCCAGCGATTTCCCACTGAACCCGAGCATTGATGCAATGGTGCTCATCTCGTCGTTGACAGACCTGTAGAGCCAGAGGTGGTAATCCCACATTTCTACTACGGCGGGGTCAAGTATATCCACACGACATCCGCTGTATACTTCCCCATAATGTGGTGGCTTATTTTGTTGACCCCTGGATGGATGATGATGATGAGCTGGATCAACCCCCCAAACAGGATTTGTTTTCACAACTTTCTGATTTTGAAGTCTCCCACACAACTGCTGAGCCATCTGGCCCTGGCCGGATACTATGTTTATACAGCTATTTATACACATTTATGAAAGGTATTACCTAACAATTATACAACAAAATGACGATTGAGATGGTACGTCTGCCAAGGACACTTTTTACATACTACACATGCACAGCACTGTCAATCCACTGTCCGAATGAGGGCATACGGGTTGTGGGAGATTATTTGACCATAGTTCACCATGCTGGTCAGTGCGGGCTGGGGAAGGTGCGGACCAGAGACAACGTGGGAGCACAATAATCCAACACATCATTGGAATTTCCTACACTGCCCTTGTCCCCGCAGCAGCCTGTAACAACCGTCATGCATGGTGGTGACGCAGTCTTAATACTTTCCCTTTTCGAGATGTCTGCAAGCTGCAGGGTGGGTCTCGTTCGCCTCTGAATCTCGGAACGCACCAGCGGCTCAGCGTTCATTTTATTTAGAGAGGTATAGCGCTATTTTTTAAAAACATTGTATTCACCTCAGAACTGTAGCGACACGTCCCCAATCTACGATTGCTGGCGCCAAACTGTGCAACACACCCTCCCGCATTGCCTTGTGGGAGCCACGGTACCGATAAAGTTATATTATTTTAGTTATTCTTCCGATTTAACCTTGATGATGAAAGCGCACGTCATCGGAACTGGAAGAAAAAGTGATAACGTACACGTACGTCATGTACACCTATGTCATCGTAACGGGAAAGGGTTAATTATTTTTTATACTAGCAGCCTGCACGCACCTCTTTTTCCCTCCTTTCCCAGCCAGGCAGCAAGCCAGGTTGCAAACTTTCTTTCTGATATAGCATGAGACGGTTTCACAGTATTTTGAGACGCAATTTGCATTGAAGACCCTACGTATCACTTTGTTTTTCTTAAACAAACTCATCGGCGGAGCTAGAAAACCACAAAAGCGAAAACCTGTGCAGTGGTAATAATAAAAAAAAACAGAAACGTTAGGACCACGGACGCCAGCGGAGAGCGGTGTTGGGGTCACGGGACTGCGCGGTGGCGTCCCACCGAAACCAGCGACAATACCGCGACGAACAACGCAAGCACGGAACGAAGACGAAAGTGTGAGCTGGCGTAGCCTGAGCGAATGCCACAGAAAGGAGGAACAGGAGGTCGCGTCTATCCTTTGACTATTATTTGGGGTTTTTATCCTTTCGGGGGAACAACTTCAAAAGCGATTTTTTTTCCGGCGAGGACTCGTAATGATCTGACCGAGTCTGTTGGTAAAAAAACTCTCCACCACCCCACACAGCCAAACAAATTAATGCATGTTACGATTACAAGTGCTTGATGGGCCAATTTTTGTTGTTATTTTTATTAATATTTCAGCTCACTGGCGAGTTGAAATAGAACGCTCACAATAAAAAAAATGTTGCAATTAAGATGCTTCATCTGATCGCTAAATTTGATACCAACTCACGGCGAGTGTTTGGACCAGTCCCTGGGCCTTTCCTGAGGTTGACTCATCCTTAAAATGAGCACCTGTTGGCGGTGTGTAAAGGTCACCACTGGAGAGACAAAGGCGGCCATGCCTTGTTTGCCATGCGGGCCTTGAGATAGGTGCCTGTTAAAGGGCTAAATGGGGGATCTTCATCTTTGCGTGTGCGGAACCCGGGTCATTACAATATACAGCTGAGATAAAGAGATTGTGGGTAGTTGGACTGTATTGTGCCAGCATGCCACTTGAGCCCGAGCAATGGCCCGATAACACACACTTCATACCTCCCCAACCCCGTCATTCCACGAATCATAATCGCTTTCCTCGCTGTAGAAGTTCAAGCCGGATTTGGTTAAACCTATCGCCATGGCTTTGACCAGCTGCCCGCATTTCCCATCGGATCTTAGAAGCCAAATAGGGTGGAGCCTGAAAATACTAACAAGGGAATTATTATTATTAATACTACTACCCTCATTTACCCAAGAAAGCCTCATTGAATCTCAACACTCTTTTTCAGGATGGTCCTGCCACATGTTTGCAGTAGGGAGGCAATGATTGCTTTATGTTATCCCAACTGAGTATTTTCTAAGTAATATTTGGATATTTGATTATATAGCAGTTAGTTTTTTTTTCATGAACGATGGGAGTAAACTTGAAAACCCATAGGAAACCCATGGAATACAGAGGGGTAGAGACCATACAAACACCACACAGTAAGGCACCCGGGTCAAAAGTCAAACCCAGGCCTTCCTTGCTGTGAGGCACGAGTGTTCCCACTTCGCTGCATCTCTTTGTCCCAGGATTCACAGCCTGGATGGGTGGCGAGAGAGGGTGTAGCGGGTAGAGAGGGTGGAGCGGGTAGAGGAGGCGTAGCAGATGCAGGGGGCGTGGTGTAGTGGGCGGAAGGGGGAGTGAGGGGGGTGTGGGGTAGCGGGTGGAGGGGGTGTGGGAGGCTCCACCTGTGCGAGTCGTTGGAGAATCCGAAGGAGTGCACGGCGGCGGAGTGTCCCTTGAGCTCAAAGGCACGACTCACTTCGCGGAATCCTCCCGTCTTGGCGAAGCAAACCTCCCACACCTTGACATCTGGTGTGAATCCACACGAGCCAATGAACCTGCCGCGGCAAAATCACACGCACGTACAAAGATCCCCCGTGTAGCCTTGGCATACTGTTGGGGCAAATTCTTTTAGCGAGTAGCACTGATGAAGGCTGGCATGACACACAAGGGAGTCGGTGGCCAGCACCACACCTGGTCATCTTTGTCTCCGTAGTGGCGATGTTTACACATCGCACCAGGTATTAATTTGAGGCTGAGTCGATCTAGGCTAGGCCCAGGACTAGTTCAGATAATCGTCACTGGTGTTAGCCGTGAGCAGGAATTAAACTCGAGTCGCCGGGTTCGTAGCGCAGTTTGCTAACCGCTACACGAGCGCTCCGCACACACGCACGCACACACACACGCGCTCTGCACGTTCCCGTAACACCTTCGTGTGGATTGGCGTGGCCGGCAGCACGCACCACCAAATTTCACGCGCGCTGCCGCCAATTCTGCTGCAACGCTACGCCAACTTCCTGTCAAAGCATTACGGCTCTTTGATAAAATGCCGAAGGGACACCCCTCTGACAGCAGTAGGCGTGCACGTGACTACGTGAAGTCACAGCTACAGCTAGAGGTACTGTATACTGGGCATGGCGTGCCAATCACTCAAATCCTGGGATCACCAGCATAATCAAAATGAACGAGGCAATGAATTGTAAGGGTGGAAACCAGGTTAGATTTCTCACTTCAGCTCCTGAAGGTGCCTGCAGTAATGCGTGGCTAAATCTCAAGAGAAGAAATGCTGAACACGTGGCTTAACCGGGAGGACTATGCTTGGATTGTGCTTTGCTTTGACATGTACAACGCTCAACAGGTGAAGTTGGCCAAACATTCCATTATAGGACCACAGAGGTTGGGCAATTGTTAGTGACGGTTTTGGCTCCTTTCCCGCTTGCCTGTGATTTCCCGTGCCTCTGCCCTTTTATCTGTCTCTCTCTCTATGCATCAACAAACACTGTGCACGGTACACATTCTACATGACTATTAAATTATTACGACGAGCCTCAGGGATCTCTGGCTGCCAGGGTGTGCATGTTGACCTGCCACAGGGAGAGATGGCCGCGTAGGCATTGGTCATTTGGTTGGTGTTGATAGTGGCCAGGATCTCGCCCTTGAGGTCCCACAGGTGGATGGTCGTGTCTGCTGAGGCTGTCATCACGAACTTGCCTAGCAGCCGCACACAAACAAACACACATACCAACAAACGCCATTCATTATAAAGTAAACTTTACTCTAAACACCTGTTTCTAAACGTGGAGGGAAGAACCGGAGGACCTGGAGGAAAATCCACACGACCACGGTGAGAACATGCAAATTCCCAATATACACGCATCAGGGCCAGGATCGAAACCACGACCTCCTGCATACTGGGCGAGGGAGCTAATCGATAAAATAAGTACAATTTTGCGGGGAGATTGAGTTCAACAGTCATTGCGCTGTGGATAAACCCGTCCCCGTCGTAGGAACGTGGAGCTTCCACCACTGGTTCAGGGATGTAAATATGAGATGAGCACTGCGCCAGTGCTCACTCGACTAAGAAATGACTGGCCAAAGACGGTCTAGAGCCACCGCTCGAGGTTTGGGTGTGTCTCACCACGTTGAGCAAGTGAACACGTCGGGTTAAACGGCTGCGAATGAGAACCGCTCAATCGCACTGTCAGCTTAGACAGGAGGTCGATGTAGGTCAACGCTGCCCTCGAGCTAGCACGGGGCCCGTGTCACTCCCAGCCTTGGCAGTGCCGGCTAACGCATTGCAGCGATAAGCAGTGTTGCGATGATTCACGGCACTGGCGATTCGATTAATTGTTGCAATATAGAGTGGCGATTTGATTAAGGAATTAATTATTTTCATACCATTTATTTTACTCATTTCTTTTGCAACTAGTTTTTAAAGCGTTGCTTGCTCCGTTAGCCTAAGCGAGATATGACAGCTTTTGCATTTAATTTGCAAAAAATCGTAAAACGTCCACTCCTCAATGAATGTACCGCGAGCCTTAAGAATCGATTTCAACTGACAAATCGACGCACCGTCCCACCGTTTGCTATCAACTATCTTGTAGCAATCGGAAAGCGGTGCCCGAAAAATGAAACAATTTTTTTTACGGTGTAAAGTAATATTAATGGCTCCGAGCTTAACATTCCAAAAAAGCCAGTGAGTCACAACTCAAGCTTCCCGGCTCATTCACGACAGGTGTGTGTGCGCGACGTGCTCGAGCGACCACTTCGGATTTGGATTTTTCCCCCAATTTCTGAAAAGAAATAACGGCACTAACTGCCGTCGTCCATCGTCCGTGGCTTACCATGAAAAGCCCACGCCGCTGACTCAATGCATGCGTGCGCGTGTGCGCGCGTGCAATGTGCATGTGTAATGTTTGTGTGTGCACAAAATCCTGTGCCACTCCGGAGGAAAAACAAGACTCTACCGGGAGAAAACTCGGCATTCCTGAGAAAGCGCGGCGGCGATGACGGGGCAGTTGCGGGCCGAGTCTCCCGAGGAGGAGGGGAAAGTGTTCGCTGTGAAACCGCAGAAGTGCGCTGTCGGAAACCGCATCAACGTCGCAAACTCAACTGGGAAAGTAGGCGGGGTTTGCCAGCCGGCCTCCGTAGAAATCACCGCAATCACAAAGCTAGGCGAAAACCGCACGTTTATTCTTTTCAGTTTCTTCTGGGTCGGTTATCACTCCCGATTGTTTCACAGAAATGAATCTTTTTTGCCGAACAGGAAATAAGGTACGAGATCCGAAACCTGTTGGTTTAAAATTAATTCAAGCGGCTGAACGTTTAACTTTAAACAGGTAGTAGGTTGATAATTGTTTTTTACCCTTCTATCTGGCAACAAAACTGACACCTTTTTTACAAGGAGTCATGTTTACATAGACCACAATACCTGCAGTCATAATGCAAACAAAAAACATAACTCTGATAATGTGCACTGTCCTTGAAGTTGATTGGTCCACACCCGAGACAGCTTTCCTTAAAGCCTAGTCTCACATGGGTTGGACCAGATGACGCCAAAAAAAGGTGTCAGTTTTGTTGTCATATTTTTTACTGGGTTTTCACTGCTAAATAAATATTCGGAATTTAATTTTGGGTTAAAGCAAAAATGTGGCCACATCATTACGTGACTAAACCCAAACATCAATTGAAAGTTCCCACTCTTAAACAATAAAGTGTATCAAGCACTTTACTGTAGACACCCTACTATAAAACGATAAATATTTACTTTCTATTTATTGCAAAAAGAAACCAAAAGGTGACGTAGCCATGATCCCTTGAGATATCAATTGACATTTCAGGTATTCATTTTCTGAAATGTGGTGACTTACGATGCATCCTTAAGTTCGCCATTAACGCAGTGATCCTGCTCGTAAAAAAACAAATCACTTACGATCTCCACAAATCACACGGTCGGCAAACGACACGTTAAAGTTGCAAACGAAACTGTAACAGTTTAACACGTAGGCTTTCGCAACCAATATCATCCATAATATAGTTTTTTGGGTTAGATCGCGTAAATATTTATTCACGTGATCTATTTATTTATGCGATCTAACCCAAAAAAAACCTACATAATAAATATATTGTGGAAACTAACAACCTGGACGGAAAAAAAACAGGGATCGGTCGAAGGGAGTTCATAAAAACTAGACCAAATACAACCAGTTCTCGAACTAAATCTCCACCCAGAAACGTAACAATTCCATTAACAACCAGGAGATGCTGCTCCTGGCCATGAAGGCAGATTGCATCCCTTGTTTCTGTGATAAGCTTCTCTGTATCTTCCTGCTCAGTGCAATATGGAAGTGACAAAGTTAATAATGTGTAAATTGCAAGGCTAAGAACCTCGTTTGAAAAGGGTCAAGGCCGCAGATCGTGTAACTAGAGATTTACATCTAAACACAAACGACGCAGATGCACAAGCACAAACAGTCCGGACAATTGTCAGATATTATTATTTTTACTCGGGAAGTGAAGGAAACCGAAATAGCAAAATACAAGAAGAAGTGATGAGTGCGTTGAAATGCTCAAAATTAAGCTCACTTTCATAAACCGCCCTACAAATCAGCTGCCGAGACACTGTATGTCAAAACCAGTCCCGAATTTACTTGTCTTGAATCAATGCTGTTAAACATGCGCACTCCCAAAAGGATGTGTAGCCGATGGCTTGTGGAATAAATATTTATCATTTCCACGACACGAATGATTATATTGAGTTAAGACCCGTATCGGAAAGAGAGGGTCCTCGTCTGTAAGATCGGATGTTCACCGACATTGATTCAAGCAAGCTGATGAACATACCGTATGTTGAAACCAACCTACAGTTTGCTCGCCTTAAATCAATACTGCTGAACGTGTGCACGCGGTTGACGGGTTGTGTAATACTTTTTTTATTCATGAGGAGAGACTGATATGTATAGGAGCCATGGAGTCCGCTTATCTATTTTAGTTCTCTGAAGAAGCTATAGTCTCATTGCCGCGGGGCGGAGAGGCTGCTCATGCAGGTTCCGTCAGACAACTCGTCAGATGTGACTGTGGCTTAATTTTCGCTCGCATCGGAATGTCAACCTAGAGAGCATCGCCATTCGAACCAGGGGAATCACTTGTGTACAGCAAGGTCGGGAAATTTACCTTTGCACCTGTGGCATCAACATTTATTTTTTCCATGAACCATGACAAAGGGAAACATGCGTACAATTGTCGGGATTTTTAGAATTGTTATTTTAAAAATGTATTTGCTTGAAAGTTGGAATTTTTCGTGTGGGCTGCTCCACCGCCACGCTTTGTTTTGCGGGCACAAGGTGGGACTGGGATGCAAAACAGCAAAAAAAATAGTGAGCGCTCGCGCAGCACAGGTTCACGGTTTCTCGTAAACCAACGTCTGTCCAAACCGCTCACCGTGTTTGTGAGCTCACACGCAGGATGGCACGGCACTTACCGTAATCGTGACTAACAGGCAAAAGGTGCCCAGGTGCGGAAAACCCGTAAGAAAATAAAAATCCACTAATTACGCTGGAATAAAAATAAAATAAAAACAAGATTTGAGGTTTGGCACGGCTGCATTGGGTTTGCACTACTTGACGGATTTTCCAGTTCACACTGGCATTACAACAGGATGCATGTTTACAACAGGCTAGTTTGGAAACGCAACAAAAAACCTCTTTACCACCGAGTCGCAAACAACTTCACGTTTAAAATGCCTTGCAAAGTTATTGAGCGTTCTTATCAAAATGTCAAATCATACCTTTGTTGTGGCTCTCAAAACTTACTTATAAGCTATTCGTTCCGGTAAGATGCAGTTACACAACCAAAACACACGCTTCTCAAATTATTTTGCCAACAGCCTCCAATAAACCCGATCACTTTTAGGAAACCCCAGCAAGCTAGATTCAGAGCCAATGATTATCTAATTGACTTCTAATCATCAGTGACTCAAACCCGCAAAGACCAACGGCATACCAAGCCACTGAAATGCCACAAACGAATGACTCGTGAGTGTGCGGTGTTGTGCGGTGGTCGTAATGGCCTGCGGAAAGCTGCACAAATGAGCACACCCACGGCTTTGGAGTGAGAGGCGCGAGAATTTACGTTCGGTTACGCGTGTCACACAAGCGACGCTACGAGCGGTCGGCAGTTCCCTCCTCCACCTCCCGCGAGGAGTCAATGGGGGGGAGGGCTGAGCGAGATGCGTCAGGATTCACACGAGGTGTCAAAAAGACAAAGACACCCCATCTAGCCTTTGGGGCAAGTGCTGTTAGCGAGTAGCATCTATGAAAGCTGGCACGGCACGCAAGGGGGTGGGTGGTCAGCACCAGCGGGGGTCACATGCAGGGTCGCACGCGGGGGTCTCACCGGTGGCGGCGATGCCGATGTTGATGATCTCAGCTTTGTGCTTTCGAGGGAAATCGTTGGGCGCCACGGAGAACGCGAACGTCCCGTCGTCCTTCTTGCTCATCTTGTAGATACGGATGGTCTCGGCGCTGGCCAGCCACACGATGAATGCCCTAGAGGTTCAGGATGAGAGGTCGTAAAGAAGGAAAGATGCCATTTTTGAATCCCATCTTTTTAACAATAATATTGCTGCTGTGGCTTTTATGCTGTGATATTTATCGTTAATAATTTACTTTATTAATGATAAAGAAGCGGCTATTTTCTACACAGGTTGATGCATTTTCATTATTAATTTAATCTACTCCTAACCCTAAAATTAATCGCTCGTAACTTTACACATGCATTCGACAATCTACATGTTAGACAGTTAGAGATGTTATCAATATTAAACATGGCAATAGTAAAATACGGAAGTTTTGGGGAAAAAAAGTTAGACGATCGCGCTTAAAAATACATAAACATTCAGGTAATGTTTTCTACTATAAATGCAGCTGTGAATAATACCATTTTTAAAAAACTAACCTGGATATTCGATAAAACTTTAGCATTTTCATTACCCACTCAAATATCTCCACTACAATCATCCCTAACAATCACTTTTAGCAGAAACAAATTATATTAGACTAACGTTTCAGGCAAGAGGCCTTCCTCAAGGGAGAAGACACAAGGAATGCATGGACAGTTTGAGACGGAAGTTTAGCATGATGGTTTGAAATGTAAGCTGAAGGTCTGTATGAATGGATTTAGTTGCCTCATACCAGATCAACCAGAATACACCCCATCTTACACCATTGGAACCTCATTTGCCAGTAAAAAATCTAATTGGTTTTTTACCCTTCCATCTGGCAACAAAACTGACACCTTTTTTACAAGGAGTCATGTTTGCATAGACCACAATACCTGCAGTCATAATGCAAACAAAAAACATAACTCTGCTAATGTGCACTGTCCTTGAAGTTGATTGGTCCACACCCGAGACAGCTTTCCTTAGAGCCTAGTCTCACATGGGTTGGACCAGATGACGCCAAAAGAAAGCTGTCTTGGGTGTGGACCAATCAACTTCAAGGACAGTGCACATTATCAGAGTTATGTTTTTTGTTTGCATTATGACTGCAGGTATTGTGGTCTATGCAAACATGACTCCTTGTAAAAAATGTGTCAGTTTTGTTGCCAGATGGAAGGGTAAAAAAACAATTATCACACCCCATCTTGTTAGCTCTTACAAGCTAAGCTAAGCTGACCCTGGATAGCACTTGTTTAAGAGGCGTAATAAGCTGTGAGGCTGCACTTTCGGCAGCCTCCACGTCTTTGCTCCCAGTATTCACCAACCTGCACTGACCAGCGTATGATAAAAAGCCATGATCCGAACGGCATGGGGAGCTCTTCATCCAGCAATGGACAAACAAAGGGCTGAGCATGTACAGCAGTGGTTCTCAACCAATGAAGATCACTGGACCACATGCCGACCCCTACCAGGCCCAGGTCCTCACCCCCCAGGTTACTAAGGCCATAATACACAGCGAGATCACGTGTCCACTCCTGTAGTCTATGCAGTGCTAGTAAAGCATATGTTTGTTTATATTTTGTATTAGTGTGCTTTGTGTTAGTAAGGCATTGGTTCCATGTTGTGTATTAGGTTGCTTTGTCACCGCAAAGTGGCATTCATGTTCCCTGCGCACATTAAAATATTTATCCTGCACAGTATCCATGCCGCATCCCGAAAGGCTTTTGTGCCCCACGGCTTGAGAGCGGCTGATGTGTGGAGTATATTAGGAAAAAATTCGTTACTCATTAATTTCAAAAGACTGAAATATAAGACGTCACACGCTTATTGAAGGAGAAAAAGAATGTGGCTTTGAGAGTCTCTCTGATGGAGAAGTTAAGCTTTGCAACGTTTCCTCTTTTCATGGAAATACCACAATGCCACATTTCCTGGTCGGCAGGCAAACATTTCCGTCTGACACTGCCAGCCTCCATGAAACATGGTCCTCCTTACGGGGCATTTAACTCCGACGACAAAATCACCCTCATTGCACCCCGATGTCATCACAATTCGTAAGCTAAGCAAGAATGAGGCAAATACAGTACTTGGGTGGGCGACTAATTTGGGAGAACCAGGTGTTGTAGGTGTCAAGGAGAGGTTCAGCATAGCCATGGATTATTTAATCTATCTGTATGGAGTTATGAGTGTTTACTCCCTTCCATGTATAAATTGACAGCTCTGGTCTTTACCCGAATTCCAAACACTCAATAGTGAAACTGGCCAAACATCACGATACAGGGTTCACATGAAAAAAAAAGTCTTGAAACTCGGTAAGGTTTTGCAAAAAGGGCACGATGTAACATTTTTGTCCTGTACACAACCTCACAACGCACGTGCCATGCCCGTTGAGGTCACACTCTAGAAAGATGGCCAGCATACACCAAAGTGCAACCGTGGCAATTTTGTTCCATGTGTAGTGAGTCCAACTGAGTTGCAGACGTTATCTGGGGAGCAACACTATTTATTCACATAACAGTACGTAACATAACACAACCTACGCTCGGCTCTCGAATGCCCATCTAACCACGCTACGGCAGAACTAGACACGGTTCGCTATCCCGGTCCGGACCACAAGCTGGCTGCCAGACCGTGTGGCTAGAGCAGACATGGGCAAAGTATGGCCCCCGGGCCGTATACGGCCCGTTGGGCTTTTTAATCCGGCCCGCCGAACTTGTCCATATATTATTATTAAATTAAATTTTACCTTTGACTTCAGCACCGTCAGTTTATTACATTCCTGGAGGAAACTGATGTGGATCATCAGGACTTGCTGTACCACTCTCGTGTCCGCTGATTAAGTTTGGGGAAAGTGTTACAACGAGTGTGGGAGCTGAAAGAGGACATCATCACATTTTTGGAGTTGATGGGGAAATCTGACGAATTCCCTGAGCTAAGCGACAAGAACTGGCTTAGTGACTTGCTGTGGATATATTTTCACACATGAATGAGCCGAATGTGAAACTTCAGGGGAAAGATCAGTTTGTTCACGACATGTACAAACATCTGAAAGCCTTCAAATCCAAGCTCACTTTGTTCTCCGGACAAATTGTGAACAAATCTTTCGCTCATTTCCCCACACTTGCCATGCAGGAAGAGGCACCGCGAAACGCAAAAAAATACAGCAAATCACTTGAGGACCTGCACGGAAAATTCTGCCGTAGGTTCTCTGATTTCGAAAACATTGAACAGTCACTTCAGCTGGTGTCCTGTCCCCTGTCACAAGACCCTGAAACAGCACCACAGGAGCTGCAGTTGGAACTGATAGATCTTCAGTCTGACTCCATCCTATAGGAGAAGTTCAACTCTGTTAAACTGAATGAATTTTATGCTTCACTTAACAGAGCCACGTTTCCAAACCTCCGGAGGACTGCACAGAAGATACTGACTTTGTTTGGCTCGACTTATGTGTGTGAGCAGATATTCAGCGTCATGAGCGCCAACAAAGCCCGTCACAAATCAAAGTTAACGGATCAGCACCTCAGATCTATCCTGAGAATTGCCACAACCAAAATAACTCCAGACTTGGATGCACTGGCAAAAATGGGAGATCAACAACACTGTTCCCACTGAAACTGAAAGTGATGATGTGTTGCTGCAGCGAGGTTGGAGCCAAATCTCCAACACACAGCCTGCGTGGCTGCTCTAACCTGTTAATGTAGATGATAAAAAAGTTCAAGTGAGGTAATTGGTTTGGGCGCAGGCCTCAGATGTTTTCATGATGTTTGATCAGTCACGTTACGACATGTTTTTGTATTGTTCAAGTTCGTGCAATTTGTTAAATTGCCTTGCAAATAAATGCTTTGCTACCTGTTAAAGGCCAAATCCTTTCATGTAATGATTTTTACATGTCATTTTTATTAATTCACACAAACACTCCATCCACCTGTTCCTGGCCCGGCCCCTCTGTCAAATTTTAGAACCCATTGTGGCCCGCAAGTCAAAAAGATTGCCCACCCCTGGGCTTGAGGCTTCTTCTTCCCGACATGCATCTGCGAACACCAACACTTGAAGAACCCCGAAGCTCCTCACAGAGCTCTCGTTATATGCTCCTGGGCTGGGGCTGGTTCCGTCCTCAGCCCCGCCCACCTTCCAGGCTTCACGAGCTCCTTCTCGAATGTTCCCGAGAGCTCTCCAAGACCACGTGACCGCCCCTGAGCCCCGCCCACCTTCTAGGCTTCTCGAGCTCCTTCTCGAATGTTCCCAAGAGCCCCTCAGAACCACGTGACCACCCCTCGGCCCCCGTCCACCGGTGGCCCCCCTCCAGTATTGTCCGGTCACGTGACAACAGGTCAGCCAGAGTGTCATGCCCCAGAGTAACCTTGGCTGGCTGACGCTCCCTCTCGCTCCCTCACTGGGAGCCGACACCGCACACTGCTCGTGGTGCCTCCGCGCTAACCAGCGCTCACCCAACCACCGCTAGAGTTGGTACTGCAGCCCATAACCCGGGCTGCCCGTAATCACAACGTTACCGGCCGTGACTTCGCAAGCCCGGCACCATACAGTGACAAGTACTGTCGCTACACAAGTACAGTCAGCGAGTCCTAAAAGCACTGGAGCATCAGCCCAATATCACTGACCAGTTTAAGATATCTCTCAAGAATGTATATTCCCCTTCTCAAACGTTATCCCGATTGTACTATCGGTATCATGTCCTGAGCCCAAGTGTCCATTTAGAATGCTTATAGAACGGTGTAACTCTTTGTGATATCCACGGCTAGCGGCAGTGGATATCTCAACAGAGCTACATCTGAGATCATTTCAAGTCAGCTCTGTGCCACACATAAGAGGGCAGCACTTTCCCAGCTGCCCTACCACAGAGATTAATGTTCATTACATGACAGGCAAACCGATCTATTTAATTCACAGAACTATAACTTGTATTCAAATTACATGCAGAAGCGACCGAAGCCCAGCACCACCACGAATTACGACGAGTCCCAGGGGACAGCCGGGACAGTCATGGTGGCACCAACGAGTGCCAGGGCATCCTCAGGGATAAAACAAAACGACCAATTTGTGGCAATGTTTCATTATTTCGTTTTAGATGAAGCGTATGGTCCATGTTGTGTGGTCAAATGTAAACACTATTTAAAACTTGTTCTTCTTTAGTGCTGCCTAACGGCGTGTGCGACATCACGATGATATTGGTCCCGGTCTAGCACGGCGTGTAGAGTTTGTGCTGTTGTTATTTGTAGCCATGTTTTGATGTTACTGAGCCATGTCGTTTTTGGCCGTCCTGGTCGTTTTTTCCCTTCGATTTTTCCTTCCAGGATTTGCTTTAATAACAATTAAAACAACTATAAAAAAACATATTTTACCAGGCAAGGGCCACTGAGCTATGTAGCTCTATTTCAGAAGCGACATGGCCACAAATTCTAGCTCAAGGAAGCGGCTTATGAAGTGGAAATTTATAGCAGCCAAATACTCTTAAACGGACGTTTCTAATTGTGGAGGGAAAATTTGGAGTAGCCGGAGAACAATCCACGCGACCACAGGGAGAACATGCAAATTCCAAAAATACAGGCGTCAGGGTCAAGATCGAACCCATGACCTCCTGCAAACCAGACGAGGTAGTTGACATCTCGCCACTGTGGTGCCCTTGCAGGGTCGGAAGAGGGTTCTCGTAAGCACTTCTGTTTTGTAGGCCTTCAGTTATAACTTTATACGGTTGGTACTACTGCCCATGTCACTAGCGCCACTGTCATTCGCTTGTTTCATGCATACTTCGTCCAGCCGCTGGGCAGATGTCGTTACCGATACGATTATTTAATCGGTGCCCTAATCAAATGGCAGCGAGCTGTGTGCCGCAGATAGGCAAATTTCATTTGAGATTATTGAAAAAAACAAGGTAAGCCTTTGCACTACTCTCTATTGAAAATAAATTGTGCGAAAAACACCATTTGAAGATGTTATTGCTAATTTTGCAGTGAAAACATCTCCGTGGTTAATTTCTCTCACCTTTTGAAAAGACATTGACATGACTCTGCCTCTATATACACTGTTGCCTATCCTTGCAATATAAATATATCTATTCAAGAAGATATCTTGGTTACAATTTTTTTCATCATACAAAAAAAACAGTGCCTACTGTACCTAGGGCCTACAAATACTAAAGGGCCTCGGAACAACATTTTACCATGTTTTTGGATAATACGGCCCTGGCACCCTGGCCATCCCTTGTGCGTGACTCGAGGACTTGCCATGGCAATGCTACAGCTATGCATGCAGTGTCCACTTGGTGACACCTTGTGGACAGCAGCTAAACATGCTCATGGAAGAGCAGCAAAACAGAAAGGTGATAACCACTCTCACAACCCGCAGTGAAACTCTGCCCTCTGCAGCACTCACTATGCCATTGGTGGCATTTGAGGGCCAATCCAGCGATGCTAAGAATGTATTTCACAAAAGATGGGAATACTTATTATGATTGAAACAGTTAAGGTAAGAGACTCATACTGGTAGGAACCTCCTGATTACACCAGCCCACAGGGTATTATTGTGTCTGTCCGTCGTGCATCCAAAAATGGGTGGGGTGGGGCTGGGTGGAGAGGGGAGGGTGGGGAGGGGCTGGGTGGGGAGGGTGGGGAGGGGCTGGGTGGGGAGGGGAGGGTAGAGAGGGGCTGGGTGGGGAGGGTGTGGCTGGGTGGGGGTATTTGCAGAATACACCACGTTGCTGTTGACTGAGCAACCCAACGTTCCTACCAGCTCCTTCCGCAGGAATGTGTTATATTTTTTGTGTCAGGGCCAGCATCACCGATGGACACGAGGGGGGGGAGGGTTGTGTCCCCAGTTTTGGATAAGATAATCCCTCTACTAAGGCCAATAATAACAGGTTGATAATGTATTGCATCAATGTCATAACATCTTAAAATAATCTAGACTGACTGTTTCGTCTCATTGAGATCGAGTTCAACCACCACAGTTCCACTCTGGAATTCCTTCCCATCGTCTCTATTCCTCAATTCAAGGATTGTGTTTGCTCTAATCTATAACAACTTTTATGGTACTATTTGTTTCAGGCCAATTGACATTTTGGGCCTTTTGGCACATACTCAGCAACTCTATTCAAAACATGAAAAGCGAAAAAAAATAGAAGGGAGTGTGGTCAAGGAAGGGAATCATGAAAAAGTCAACACCACAGCATAAGCGAGGACAAAGCACCTGGGGTTCGACACCAACAATGGCAAGGGACAGCCGGGGCAGCACCAACAAGTCCCCTTGTCATCGTCAAGGGGACTTTTCAATAAAAAAAGTCTCAGGACATCCATAAGATGGGGCTGATTCATCAACGATTTCCCAAGGATGAGAACCTCATTACCAAGGAGGCCCTCTATCGCTCCCAGTGGCTGCTATAACCCACCTCAAACCTCGGTGACTCACCTTGACACAGGCAGACGTCTCCACTTATTCCACAAGTGGAACATGAGCAGCAGCCCAAATTGTTCCCGTGGCCAACCAAGTCAGTCGCCCACGTACTGAACTTCTGCTCTGAGAGATCCATTCCCGGTGGCATCACAACCACTCACTCTGCCTCACCTGAAGCTGTTGAATGTATTTCTAACCTCGACATCGAACTACAACTGCTTCCTCCAGCCATACGAAGGGGAAGAAGAAGGTTGGTTAACACGAGACGTCGGTTTTACTTCCAGGCGCAACGCGATGCAGCGCACCGGCCTCTCAGAGTATGACTCCCACCTCGAGTCGGGGCTGAAACGGACAAGAGTGGCGTGGTCCAGATCCACGTTGGCGCGGGAACTCTTGTGGTCGCGATCGCCAAAGTCCTTGCTCTGCCAGATGCGCACGGTGCGATCGTCGGAGCAGGTCGCCACATACTTCCCATTGTTGCTGAAGTCCAGGCTGGTCACATTGCTGCTGTGAGCCTTTTGTTTGGCAAAGGAGGCAAAACAAGTTCCAAGGTCAAAATGTTTACGTCACTTTAATTGGGTAGAGCATCTAAATGAATAGCCAATGTCCCAGATCACGGTCAATCAAACAATGTACATGCGTATTGGGACTATGGCGAACTAGGTTCAAACAGCCCAGAGATTGCCAGGGATCAGCACAGTGGTCCTGGCCAACATCTCCATGAGAAACAAAAATGTCAAGTAATCTATGCCAATTATTTGCCCAGGAAAGCCTCACTAAGTTTTAAAACTCTTTCCTTTGGTCATTGCATTGGAATTTTTGCCCAAATTAAATTAAAGTGTCTGGCGTTATGTACAACTTCCCGTGATTACCAACAATCAGATGCATGAAGTGTATACAGTGGGTTGACTTTCATATGATTGTCGGTATTAATGAAAAGCAAGATCATGGAGGGAGGCCACGACGACTGGAATTTGTAAACGCTACACGAAACGGTACAGATGGGGAACCTGATGTGCCTCTCCATGTACAGCAGGTTGTTGGGGTGACATGACCATACCTCACCGCATTGCTCAGCGAGGGTTGGTGCACGTGGGGAACATAGCCTCGATAGTATAAAAGTACACCAGAGCGATGGATTTTGTAGCACTGCACGCCAAATGGCCCCAAAGCACTATGACAACCTGTACGTGCGTCGTGGTCACTCAACCATGCACCATCCCAGCTCAATCATATTTAGGTTCAGAGATCTGATTAGATGGGGCGTATTATGGGTCGATTTGGTCTTAGGGAGAACTTGTGTTTGGATAATTGTCAGTCAGGCTGCACACACGATTTCAAGGTCAATTCACTGGTGCCAGGCAAGTCGGAATGCAGCTGGGGGAACACCTTGAGAGTTGCTGCAAGGAGCGGGTGGCTGAACGTGCTTTGCTGAGTCTTTTCGCGTCGCTGCTGCCACTTCTGTTTCTTGCTGCCGGCACCTTCAGCTTTCTTTACCTCCCCGTTCTTGGGAGAGGCTTCTTCTTCTTCTTCAACCTCTGAGAACAGGTGAGAAAACTGGTGATGTCAAGATGTCCCGGGAGCTGAACACGAGATTCGAGCACCAAGTAGTTTAGTTATTTTTTAATTGAACCAGGTGAGAACTCAAAGAGACCAGGGTAGTCCCATTTTCGAGAGTGACCCGTGTCGGTGTCACCACACATCTCCAATAGTAGCCCTCAGCCAGTGATGTAAATGCGATATGCCTTTGACCAAGACGAGTCTCTTCATAGGACAAACATTGGAACACAGCCAATTAATTATTCATTACAGGCACTGCAACAAGACGTTCACGTATTTTTTTTTAAATACAGGACCGCTCATCGTCAACATCAACCAAAATTATGCCACTGTTGGCTACTGCTGGATGATTGCCTCCAAAATCCTCAACCATCCTTCTGCATGCGCGGATGTCACACAGCTTCATCTCCTCTGAGGCACGTGTTCTCATTTGGCTGCCATTCCATCACCAGTCTCAACCGCGTGTTATCAGGTGATGACGACATCCTGCTCTATTTAAGACCGGAAGCAGGTGGATTGCTTCACTATTCTGGCAAATCGCCCGATGATGCTGGATGTAATTACGAGCGAAACGTGGTACTCAGATTGTATATATTGAGAATGTACTCTTCAACACAACGGTGGGCTGAAGTAGTAACTTTGGCGTTTTGTTTACGTGACAAATCCCTTACTAATTGGCTGTGTCGGGTGGTGGAGGGTTTCGACATATTTATACTTACGCGATCTAACCCAAAAAACCTTTATTATGAATACAAAATATCTTCGAGAGATGATGCATGGGTCCTGCTCAAGCAAACTTAGTTTTCACAAATGTAAAAGTTACGTGGCCTGCTGCTTTAACTTGTCACTCGGGAGGGGTTAAACCCTCCCCTGCAGATAAGTGCAGCAGTGACGTGGCCTGTTTCTGTTGGCAGGAAGCTTTCCCTGCATCGATGTACCCAGAACGAAACCAAACTGTATTATTGTTTTCCAACTACTCAATCGCTAATTGTCAACTATGCATATGCCAATTAAAGCATTGGTAATCAGACAGCATTAACATTTAATTATTACCAGACCCCCCCATGTTGAAAAGCACAGTCTACAACTCTTATCCACTCTCTCTCTCTGGCCTAGATGCTATGAAAGTGTCATTGCCCGAAACGTCGCTAATTATATATTTTCCTTTTAAGGTCTTAGTGTTATTGACGAATGTTTTTTTTTAAACTAATCTATTACATCGTGTTGCTGTCTGTCAGGACTTGGGTGTCTCGAGACCAAGTTTAACTTTAAAGCAAAGAACACAAACACAACTGACAATTCTGTCTCTGCATATAAGTAACATAAACATTTCAGGACAATATTATCAATCGGCATTTCTTAAACAAACTCCGGACCGGTTTCGCTCTTTCTGGGTCTCATTAGCAGAGCCACAAACCCGCAGCCGAGAGCCTCCGCAACCAACGCCAATCAGTCGGGGAGAAGTGAGAGGGCATCCCTTCATTAAGACCAGAAGCGAGAAAAAGACAAATCGCAACTCGTGTGCCATCATGAAATTTTTTTTTTAAAACGCCGCAAAACCCCCGGACACCGGGGACCCCGTAGCGAAGGCCGCATCCCCGACCTCGCCTAGTCACTCTCGCCGACACCCGGCGGCGTACCCCGGGCCGGTCGAGGTTGGGGGTTGTGTCCGCACCTGAATCGCTGGCGCTGAGCGCCCTCTCTTTGGACCGACCGAGCCCGAAGAAGTAAATGGCGAAAGCGGCCGCGACCGCGACAGTGGCGATGGCCACAGCCAAACCCGGCGGCTGCAGCAGCAGCGACAGCTGCCCTCGGGACGCGGCGGTCTCCCCAGCCTCGGCCGCCATAGCGGCTCCACGTGTCACCAGCGCGCATGCGCGTACCGAGTGTAATCCGGATTACTTTTCGCCCCCCATCCCCACCGCCGTTACATGTAATCTGATTACACGTTAGCCAAGGAGTCCAGATTGCGTGTTAACCGGATAATGTGGAATCCGTTGCGTTGAAATGTATCACAAAGGGAGTATGAGCGTGCGTATAGAGCGGACAGATTAGACGTCAATCAGATTATATTACTTGCCATCTGATTACATTAAAAATGATTACATGTTAACCACATTGCACGTTTATCAGATTGAATGGTAATCATGTCATAGAAATGTATTATGTGTTAGCCATATTACATGGAAATCTAATTATATGGTAAACACGTGAAAAAAAAATACACATTCAATGAAATGCAACGTCTATTTGTGACACGGACAATCCATCATGTGACCTCATTTGCCAGTACCAAAATATGATAATAGGTTTTCCCCTTTTTTCTGGCAACAAAACAGGTGTTAAGATGCTTAAACACCAAACTGAAACCTTTTACAAGGAATCATGTCTGCATTAACCACACTACTTGTGGTCAGAATGCAAACAAAAAACATATTCTGATCATATATGGATTGTCCTTGAAACTGATTGCTCCACACCAGAGACAGCTTTCTTTATAGCCTAATCTTAAACGGTGTTAGACCAGAGGACCGTTTGAGACGAGGCTCAAATGAAAGCTGTCTCTGGTGTGGACCAATCAGTTTCAAAGACAATGCATATATTATCAGAGTATGTTTTTGTTTGCATTCTGACCACAAGTATTGTGGTTAATGCAGACATGATTCCTTGTAAAAGGTTTCAGTTTGGTGTTTTAACATCTTAACACAACTGTTTTATTGCCATTTAAAAGGAGAAAACCTATTCTCACGGACAATCCAGTTTCGCCAATTACCCAAATAGTTTGTGATGGAGATCTGCGCTGCATCAGCACAGAACAACATCAAAGTGATCCGTACGGATGAATAGGTAACATCGGAACAGAACGTATTGGAAATAAATTTCGATTTAAAGCTTTCGTGACTGCAGGGATTCCTCTTCTTGGTTCTTTCGGTAAAGTCACGTAGAATGGAAATAATAAAATAATAAAAATAAAAGATAATAAAATAATTCTCACGACGTTTCGGCCACAATACAAGCAGCCGTCCTCAGGCTTATTTATTAGTTTTATTTTTATTATTGTATTATTTCCATTCTACGTGACTTTACCGAAAGAACCAAGAAGGTGTTGGAAGTACTGTAAAGTACATGCAAAAATAATGCATAAAGCTCAACAAGTGACGCATAATTTGGTACATTGCACCATAAACAAGGACAAGGCAGTGAATCATTACTTTAAAAATTGACTTATTTATCCAGGAAAGCCATAGTGTTGCTCGTCTTGAAACAAGTGCTGATTAAAGTATGCACTCACAGAAGGCCGTGCTGCTAATGGGGTTGTGTAAGTAATAATTGTATTTATCACTCTTAATGTTTGGAGCTTTCGTGACTGCAGGAATTATTCTTTGGTTCTTTCGGTAAAGTCACGTATAAAGATAAAGTAATAAATTAAATAATAGCATACGACGTTTCGATTGCAACACAAGCAATCATCATCAGGTATAATGAAATAGCGACATAAAATCTAACCAGAAAACTATAGACAGACATATAAGCACACAGATATCACCAATCACCAAGATACACGTGTTGCACGCTCTATGTATCTTGGTGATATCTGTCTGCTTATATGTCTGTCTATAGTTTTCTGGTTAGATTTTATGTCGCTATTTCATTATACCTGATGATGATTGCTTATGTTGCAATCGAAACGTCGTATTCTATTATTTAATTTATTATTTTATCTGTATTTATCACGTGGAGGCACGGGTGTGTGTGAACGAAGACGCGAGGGGTCACTCTCTCTGCTTGTCGTTGGTGACGTTTGAACTTCAGTCAGACCGCTGCCGGTGTTGCAGACCACGCGGTGGCGCTGTTTGCTCTTGCAGATAACCTAAGGGGCAGTCCATAAATGACGTCACGCACCTAGGGGGTGGGGGGGGGTCAGACATGTGTGACGAGGGGGGGGGGGGTTAGAAATGTGACGTCACATCAAAATGCGCAACTTTAAATAACTATAGACAACACGTTCTACTTAATTAAATAGACTTTGTAATAAATGTTTTCTCCTACTACATCAGAGTGCAGCGCCATATTAAATACGCACTACAATGACAATAGTTTAAAGCGATTTGAAGCATGTTTTATTTTTCGGGGGGGAGGGGCAGAGCTTTGTGACGTCATATTTGCATATTTGAGGGGGGGGGGCAGATCTTTGTGACGTCATATTTGAGGGGGGGGGGGGGTCTGACTTTTTGTGATGTCGTGTGACGAAGTGGGGGGGGGGGAGTCAAAAATCGTCCAAAATCGCGTGACGTCATTTATGGACGGCCCCCAACACAAAATAACCGTGAGCAGTCGCTGATATCCTCCAAAACGATGCTGATCGATCTGAAGTCTATCGTTTTGCGTCGAACCAGAGCCCATATCTACGGAGGAGGATTCTTGCCTCCAACATGTGGAAGTTCCACCAGCATTGGCTAACGCAGCCTGACCGCTGACGAGACGCACCGTGTAAGTTTGCTTGTGCTGAACCAATGCAGCTAAAGACTCCCAAAGGCCCGCGTGGCCTATGGGATATTGTAAACGACATACGTTTGTACCATTGGAAACTCATTTGCCAGTAACAAAATGTTAATTGTTTTTACCCTTTTTAGACTAGGCTCTAAAGAAAGCTGTCTCGGGTGTGGACCAATCAACTTCAAGGACAGTACATACATTATCAGAGATGTGTGTTTTGTTTGCATTCCAACTGCAGGTATTGTGGTCAATGCAAACACGACGCCTTGGAAAAAAGGTGTCAGTTTTGTTGCTAGATAAAAGGGTAAAAAACCAATTGACATTCGTTTGTATTACGTGGAGGGACATATACGGGAACGAGAGATACCACCTGCTTGTTTATTTCGTTTCTTATATTCACCACGACGGCGGTGTCCGTCATTTATCAGCCTCACTCCACTGTTGTGATTCACTGTACGTACAGTACGGGGGAGGGTGGGGGGGGGTCGCGTCGCCCTAGCAACCGCGTCCGGGGGTCCCCCCCACCACCTCAATAACCCCCTTGCCCCCCCCCCCCGAGGGTGGATTCGCTCTTCCTATTGGTGCGTAGCCCCTCACGTGACGCGACAGCTTTGTCAACTCGCGCCGCGGCTTTTGATTGGTGAGCTGGCGACAGCCAATGGGAGGCGATCTGGTGGGGGGGGGGGGTTGGAAGGGAGCGGTGGTGGAGCGGTTAGCGCTACGAACCTGACCACCCGAGTTCGATTCCCGCTCACGGCCAATATCAGTGTCACTATTATCTGCACCGGTCATGGGCCTCCTCCTAGGTCGACTCAGCCTCAAATGACTACCTGGTACGGTGTGTAAAAACATTGCCACTGGGGATACAAAGGCGGTCGAGCGTGGTGCCTGTCCACCCGCCCCTTCGTGCGCCGTTCCAGCCCTTCATATGTTGCTACTCAGCACTTGCCCCAACAGTCTGTCAAGGCTATACGAGGTCGGGGGGGGGTGGGAATCTTTGTCTTTGTGGGGGGGGGCGGCGGTTGCCGCGGTGACTGAGCGGCCATCTTACTCAGGGAATAAAAAACACACACGGCCGCGTGACGTCACGCGCCACCCGCATTTCCCAACGGCCCCCCCCCCTCGTCCCTCCCTAGGCAAGATGGCGCGGCCGGCATCACAACACGCGCTGTCACCGCGACGCCCACACGTGGGATCGGCCGCACCTGACTCGTGGGAGCATAAAGAGGGAGGAGGCGGAGTGGTGGTAGTGGTAGTAGTAGTGGTGGTGGGTGGGTGAGCTCACGGTGAAGAGGCAAGTGTTGAGTTGCTCCGTGCTGGAGTTTGCGTGTTCCTGACATCGTCCGCCTTCTTGTGCATTTGCCCCGTCGCTTGGCCACGATGGAGAGGGTGGCCAGCACCATCCGGCATGCTCCCACCAGCCTGCTGAACAGGCGCTCCGTGAACACGATGGAAGCCGACAGGGATACGTTCGAACGCGTACAGGTGAGCTTGAGTTGTCTTGAACTAAATATCCGAAGTGATCAATAAAAAATCATTAGATTGCCATCGATTAAATTACGCTTGAAATGCGAATACTGTATTGCACGTTACATAATTAAGATGCGTATATGCAACCCGCGGCTGAATATCGATTGTAAGCCGTATTACAGGCAGACCAAGCTCGTATTCTCATGCTGTGGGTACACTTTGTGGGTAGTAAGGTGACCTTATACGCGATCTGGTTGAAGGTTTGGTATTGTATAAAGTTACATGCACGGGCACCCACGCAGGCAACCACAGAGGACACGTCAGCTGGCGATGATGCCACAGCGCGCAATATGCTAAAGCTGTGGTCGATTTGTGTAGGTTACCAAACGCAGCATGCTGCAATGTGAATTGCAAGTAGGAAGACACGTGTTTGTATGACTTAATGTGTGCGTACGTATCGTGGTCGCATCTTGAACGAAATAGAAAATTGCGTCGTTGAAGCGGTGAATAGATAGATGCATGCGAGAATTGTATTGTTGGCGATCGATTTTCAAAATTGGAGTTCCATTGGAAAGCATCACGCATCTCGCTTGTTGGATCTCAACCCTGCCACGGCTGCATTTATCATCGATTATCAACACATCTGACGATCGTGAGAACGTGTGTGTGTGTGCTTTGTGCACGTTATGGTACCAATCCCACTGCTGGTGTTACGGTGACCCCAATAAACCAACAGCGTGGCTCTCTTTACCACACCGCAGACCCAGCGGATCTCTTCTTAGAAATAAGTATGTGCCGTTTAACATTGATTTGACAATCATCGGCATCACGATCAATGGTGTACGGTGCTTTTTCTGCAATATTTTGCTGTCTTTTCTTGGATTTTCTGTTTGCGCATAGTCACTTTAAGATGTTTTCTTGTTCATGTTTTTGTTTTTTGTTTGTTGCGGTTGCACCCGATTCAAGAGCCGAATGGCTCACAGGGCTATACCTAATCAATGAACTTGAACTTGAATCTACCGACTGGATACAGGCACCCTCTGAAGGCGTTGTTGCCATCTCTCATGGTCATTATTTAACCCACCTAGCACCCTGCCTGCACACCAGCCGATTTCGTCGCTCCATCTCCTGGGTTGGAGTGATCTCGGGAGGCTTTCTCCATCCCTAAATCCTCTTTGGCTTCCACTCCGTCACTCTCTAAATGGGGGTCATCTATTTAGTCCGTACGCATAGAGGGGAAGGTTAACCCAAATGTGTAGCTTGCGTTTGGGGGGTCTACTGACAATGTAAGTACACATAGGAAACGGGGGGGGGGGGGGGCGAAGCCTCGATAATAATAATGCAGCCGGACGGTGGATTATCTGTTCGCTTAAACACGTTAATAGTATTCATCTTTGATCGTTTCTGCGTGGATTAAATATCGGCCGTTCTATAGGATTGGGGGGGGGGTCAGGGTTTGACAGATGTTTGCGAACCTACTAAATGGATGGCCCCTTACTGCTCACTTTGAGCCATCATCTTGTTCTAGTGACATGTTCTGGCCCAATGTCACTCGCTCTCACCTTTCACGACAATTACACCGATGTCTTTCATTTGCCTATATTTTATCATCCTCGTGTTCCTTTTTCTTTGACAAAATAACTTTTTTTTTTTACAAATGGTATGAGAATACACGGGTTCAGCGGATATGTTTTGACTAATAGGTTGAAATACAATCCTCCATGTATTTAAAGTGGCGAATAATTGACAAGGCTGTGAGATATTAACTTCATTGATTTCACACGGCAGGTTAAACTAAACGCGCATGCCTTCTTGTGTAAAGGATTGTTTCCATTTGTGTGTTCAGAGTTGACATTGACAAGCCACGTGTTCAGGTGACATTATGATCGGAGGCTAGGTGCAAGGCTTAATGTTAAGATGGTTTAAGGGTAATGTTAGGACCAAGGTGTTGAGGATTAGGTCTCAAATTAAGGTTAGGACTTTGATTAGATGTAAGGTTGTGTGTAGGCTTAGGTTTAAGGATACTGTTAGAACCAGGGCTATGTTTTAACAGTAGATTTCACAACGGAGGTTTGCAATAGGGTTCGGTGTAAGGGTAATATTACAACCAGGGTTCAGTTGTACAAAAAAATATTACTAGCGTTAGCTTTAAGGATACAGTGCAATATAATGTAGGCATTTATAGTGTCTACATGCGACTTCATAATTCGACGATGACGTGTGTTATGTTTATGTTAACGCCTTTAAAAGGTTAGGACTAGGCTTATGGTTGAATAACTTGATTACAACCGCCACTAGGTTTAACACTCTATAAGCCTATATGGGTTTGGTGTAAGGGTTAGCAGGGCTGGAGCTTATATCTCCAACACTGGAGACATATACTGGCTGTGAAGTCAAGATTGTGGTCCGCCTCATTGCTTTAGCATTGCCACGGACTGACAGAGCTGAGTGTGTGAACACTGGTTGTTGCGGCGTTGACACTTTTCGTGGATGGCGTGGGGAGTTGATCGGCGATGTTTCTAAATTCGTGTCGATGTTGGTGAGTGGACAGCTTCAGGAGTCGCCTCGCCACGTTGAACATGTTTTTCAGTTTTCAGTTTCATTTATTTTGTATAGCCCTGGTGAGCCATTCGTCTCTTGAATAGGGTGCAACCGCAACAAACAAAAAAACCAAAAACATGAACCGGAAAACATCTTAAAGTGACTAGGCGCCAACAGAAAAATCCAGGAAAAAACAGAAATTTAGGAAAAAGCAGCAAAACATCTTCCAGATAAAAAGCACCGTACACCAACGCTGTGTGCAAAAATCCCAGTGGGATGCAAGTAAAACAACAACAACCACAAGACAACTTAGATGAAAGCCATCATTCTAACTCCTTACCACAACAAACAAACATGGAACGCTGGCAGTGCCGTTTCCTCTGCAGTCCGTGCTTTGAGTTACATCGATTCGCACGGAGATTAATCGATTCGCATAGTCACCAGTTACTCACACAACACGCGTGTGACACCTTAAATTCTGTGGTGTTACTACTACAATGCACGTGGTCCTTGATTACAGGCTGGCGAGAGGGGCACATCTGCTGTGCGATGCTCTGATGCGCTTCAACGCAACTACCGAGTATTTACTCCTCTACAAACATATAAGAAGAACGTTCTAACGTTGTTCCCACGGTTCCAATCGCATGCAAACGTCGGCTCAACGTTGGTTTATAGACCGTCGCTTGCGACGGTCTATAAGTGGACTTAGTCATCGGCATAGCTTGGGGGAGGAGTTCCTTGGCCGTGTGAACTGGGAAGTTACCTGGGGGGCTTGCTGTTGGGGCTAAAACGAAAGCGGCAGGTGAAGTTTGGACCACCCATTCTTTTCTACCTCCGTTAATAATAATATACTGCGCGCTTGCCAAGCGGTAGCAAGCCACAGGATTAATAGTTCACCAGTCAACCTCGACCCCGGGCTGTCAACATCAACATCAGCGGCAGATGGACCCGTTCATTTGGGTAAAGTCTTAGTCACAACCGACACTATAGGGCGCAGAGACCAGGATTTAGGATTTACAATGAGGGCCTGTTGGGTAGGGCTATGTTAAGGTTAGGATCGGGGTTAGGTTTCGGATTGAATGTTGGCCCAGAAGTGCTGTAGGTGAAATTCTTACACACTAGGATTAGGTTTAAGGTAACGTTTGGCTGCGTACGGTGCAAAAGAAGTTCAACTTACTTTTTAAGGATACAGTTTAGGGTTGAATGATGTACTTAAGGCTGACGCCCAGCCCTAAGGGCTAGGTTATAGGACCAGTGTTAGGTGTAAGTGTTAGATTAGGCACAGAAGTTAACTTAAGCAAAACGGTTGAAACCGGGCAGTTAGATTTAAGGGCTAGATTAGTACTTTATTACACGGTTAGGTCTCAGGAAGTCCTAACCAAACTTTTAAGGTCCAAGTTAAACTAGGATTAAGTTTAAGGGGCCATGTTAGTATCAGAGTAAGGTTTAACTCCTAGACTTAATAGGACGGTTCGAACCAACGTTAAGTTTAGAGATTGAGGTTAGGACCAGGGGTTAGATTTAATGTATATGTTAGTATTATGGTTTGATGTAAGATTGATCCCTACCATTCACGGTAAGGTTAGGACCAGGGTTTGGTTTTGCAGTAAGGCGAGTCCGAGAGCTGTTGTTGTGCCTCGGGCATGATAATAGATGGCCATGACATTTTCTGTAATAGGTGGCAAGCTCTGTGGACGTGCAAGCAAGCGTCTGTTTGCGTTCGGCTTTTACACGCACGCACACATGTGGTGGAGAGTTTGACGCCCGATCAGGTGCATCGGCCGCCTTCGTCAAGGTCATTTTGCCGAGGTCTATTTGCGATTTGAATTTCACAGCGGGTTCCCGTGTGTTTGGTTAACAAGGTGCAGAATGACGTTGTGTGCGAAGTGTACCTGTCAACCCATACAGTTTACCCCTATTCTTCTTGTGCAGGGAAACCGAGTGGCGTTGTTTTTGATGTCCCTTTCAGTTCAGCCTTGGTGCCAGGACACACCTCGAAATCCGCTCACGAGCAGTGCAGTGTGAACACGCTGTGCTTTGGTCTCAGATCCTGCTGTGCCTGGGCCATGCTAAATATATCACTTGGGTCTCACCTGCTCACAGGTGAGGGAGGTGGTTGGGCAGGTTACTTGGAAAATTCGGAATAGAAGAACGGGTAAACTAAGGGCGTCACGCACCTGGGGGGGGGGGGGGGTGTGAGAAATGTGACGTCACATCAAAATGCGCAACTTTAAATAAATATAGACAACACGTTCTACTTAATTAAATAGACTTTTTAATAAATGTTTTCTTTTACAACATCAGAGTGCAGCGCCACGTTAAACACGCGCTACAATGACAATAGTTTATAGCGATTTGAAGCATTTTAAAACATTGGGGGGGTGGGGGTGGCAGAGCTTTGTGACGTCATATTTGAGGGGGGGGGGTGTCTGACTTTTTGTGACGCCGTGTGACTAGGGGGGAAGGGGTCAAAA